GTTGGTTGCTCCTTTTCCTTTACAGTCCAAAGAAATCTTACTGCATTTCTGTCCTCAGGCTTCAACAGAATTTGTAGAAAAGCAGCTTTGATATCTGCAGCAAATGCTATTTTGTGTTGACGAAATTTAATTAGCAAATCTAATAATTCAGGTTTTAAATTTGGTCCTGAGTGTAAACAGTCATTTAAAGATAGACTGTCATGAGTATGAGAGGAAGCATCAAATACGACCCTTAATTTTGTAGAATCATGATCTTCTCTGATTACACAATGATGTGGCAAATAATAGATGTTTTCTGCAGAATTCTTCGGAGCCTTTTCAGCTATTCCTTTATTTAGATAATCTTCAATTACCCTTGAATACTTGTCATAAATTTCAGTATTTTTCTTAAACCTTCTAAGTAAACTGTTCCATCTGTTTAAGGCGATGTTATAATTACTACCTATTGCACAATTTTAAGTAGAATGTTTCAAATATTCATTTTCTATCTTCCCACAAAATATACAATCAGCTGTTGATGTATTCGTATTCAACGACGCAACTGCTGGAACTAAATAATTGTTTTTGAAGGCAGTATGATATTTCTCACTTTTAATAAGGTCTCGCGATTGATGTTTATGTTGTTCAGGTTCTGATTTTAGAATAATTTGGCGATGTATGGAAAAATGTATGCTCTCTGCTTTCAACTTCCTTTCTTCAGAAATTCCAAAATGTTAGTCACTGTAGTTTTTGTATAAGAGGTTAACGATCGATTGAACTCTAAAACCAATTCACTAGGAAGTATTCTCATTAACAGTGGGCATAACAAATAGCTGTAAGAATTCTAAGTAACGTTAAGGGAATCAAGGCTTTTAATTTCAATTGCTAAACTATGATATAAGTTACATAATGTTTTAATATCATCCATTTTTTTTACTGGCTTTAAATTCAGCAGACGATTCATATGTGCGTTTATTAAAATGTCCTTTCTACCAAACCTTTCTTTCAGAATATTTATTGCTTTAGCATAATTTTCGGCAACTAACGGTAATCCCTTTATTGACATTAAAGCTGTTAGTAAATATGTGAGGTAATTAAATCTGTCTACATCCTTTAAAGCAGAGTTATTATGTATAGCAGATTCGTGTTGAGCCTAAAAACTTTGAAATTCACATATCTCGCCTTTAAATTTATTTATGGTTAATTTCGGAAGTTTAGCGCCATTTTGTATTTGTGTTCTCTACCGTATCTATAGTAGAAGAATTAGATGGCATCTCATTTAATTTAACACATTTTCTATTTCTAAATGTTCTACTGATCTTCGATTTGCACAAGGTAATTTAGTTTTTATATTCCAAGATATCCTGTATTTCAGTTTCGTACTTTTTCTCATCTGTTATGATAGACTTGATTTCAGTTTTCAGTATTAGTATATCGTTTTCATTTTCATTTAAGATGGATAAATCATCTTCTAATAAATCAAATTTAATATTATCCGATTCTATTTCCTTTTCCATTTTAGCTATCAGTCTTGTTACTGATGCTCCTAACATTCCTCGCTTCTTTTTTAGTGCTTTTAACTTATCCATCTTAATAATCAGTATTCAATCACTAATCGACAATAATAAATACTTAAATCATAATATCTAAAGATCACTGTTATCTCAGAATTTCGGCACCATGTCACGGTTTATGATCTTTTTCCTTATTTGTATTTTCTTATTCTTATTTTTTACATTTAACAGCATTTGATAAGTGAATTTTTGCTTACCTTTCTTGATGAATATCCACAGGAACGCTTGGAATTCCTTTTCATTTTTTATCACACAGAAGCTTTATTTACAGCTATGTACAACAATTGTATGCTTACATTAGAATGTTCATCATGTTCCTCTGGTTGCTACTACATCTATATCAAAATCCGCAATGCGGTAAGAAAAATATAACAAGCTGAAAGTAAAAAAGCTGGGCCCTCTCGGTGACCAGCTACATAAACTCTAACACCTGTTGCAAGGGGTACATCACAGCTGGAACTACCTAATGCTTCTGTGAAATGAATGCATCTGTCCATGCATTGTAAAAGCATTTCGGTCAGATCAAAGCAGTGCACAGTAGATGGTGTATGTATGTGCTTATGGCAAAGCCTCAAGGGTTGTCCGCTTAAAGGGAGGGATGCCTTCGTGGAAGACTTTCTAAGGGAAACTGGCTTGTATACATGTTACACATGGGCAAAAACCAAAGTTCAAAGTAGAACAGAACAATGTGATTTGAGATATTTATTTTGCAAAATTTAGATTTAGAAGATTTCTGAACTCAGAATGTGGACACAGTATGTCCAAAATGGCTTTTTGTAACAATAAAGTTACATGTTGTTATGGTGTGCACAGAACTGACCTTGGATTGTTTTCAAAGTTCCCTTACTTTGCCATTGACCATAACCCAGGAACCAGTTGTTCAGTGCAAAAGATAGAGAGTTAAAGAAAACCCTCTTACATTATAAGGAGTTTCTTGCTGAAATTACAGTAAAAGTTCAACTATCTGTAAATGTCAGGAAATGCTGATTTCCAAATATGTGAAATTTACAGATAATTGAGCTTATAAAAAGTGCAATTCACATTAGAAAAGTCAAATGAATTGTTAAAAAAAAAAAAAAAAAAAATTGGTCTAAAATTATAAAAGCCATTTTATTTGTTACCAACTTGAAAATCAAATGTCTACATTTAAATTATGTGAGATTTTGAAAGAAAAAAAAGGTTCATTTCAGATATAAACACTGAAGTAAAGCATCACCCTCAATTATGAAATTCCTTTGACTAATTGGCGGAGATCTTACCAAACTTGCTGCAGTCATTCCAATAGAAGCATGAAAGAATAGATTGCTCTTCATTGAATTAAATAATTAGCATATACAAGATGGACATAACATATATAAAAAACTGAAGTCACTTGTCATAATTCTCTGTGTTGCCCAGCCAGTTTACTTAAGTTGCACTTTTCTTTATGCCAGGATCCTGTAATATTGAAATACTCTGCTACATGCTATTCCATCGAAGACCGGTCCAAATTTAATTCACTTCTTCAAAATGCAATTGAAAAACAGACGAATAGCAGTTAACTGACATCATTTTAAAAAATTAACCTAGATTATCGAGAATTATTTGGGTTTGCATAAAGCCTAAGCATTGCATCACACTTATTACTGGAATTAGACACATCCACACAACTGTCAACCAAAAATTTTATCCCTGTTTTTTGTCACAAAAAGTCTATAATTGAATTGTGGCCGTTCTTTAAATCTTCAGCAGTAGAACCAGCTGTTAATTCTGATTTTTCTGTGTGGGCGAGTTTTCCTGGTTTTCCAGTTACATAGTGGCTTTCATATTTCCAGACAGCATCTTGATCCAAATGTGAAGTGGTAATAACACACTTTATTGGCTGGTGATGGAAATGGACTCTTCAGTCTGTTGTTCACTGGAGATAGTATCTTCTCCAGTAATTATGAAATTTTATTTGGCAGTGTGCTTGAATTCTTAATTTCAGTTGAATGTGTCTCATGTATACTGCACCTAAAAAAAAATGGGACAGTTCTATATCTCCTATTCTACTGGGTCGATTGACACAATTCAATTGCTTTTTTTATGTCTCGAAAGCGCGACTTCAGATATGTATTAGTTTTATGTATAGCATTATTCTAATAGGTATTTTGACACAAAGTCGGACTTTTTTTTTGAAATAACATACCAATTTTTTTTCCGTATTTCAATTCTACTACTCAAATTATGCCAAACTACCAAGTTTTGTAAAAATCACACGAGTAGCTTTTAAAAAATTAGCTCTCAAAATTTTAGCTCCTCATTGTTAATTGAGTCTGGTATGTATTTATTAATCTCTTTTTTTTTATTAAACTTTTTTTATTCTTCCTTTCACATTTCGAAATTCAAGTTCATTCCAAATAAAATTCACCCATTTTTTACGATTTATTTTTAAAACTTGTATTTTAAAATAAATTTATAAATTTTTCGAAAAAAATTTTGAATTATAATCTATAAAATTTTTACCATTATCTTAAAGGAGACGTATTTCTAAGCATGCCTGCAAAAAATTACAGTTTTGTATTCAAAATTTTGGAGGATATATGGGAATTTATATATTGGCCCGTTTTGAAATTTGGCATATTTTTTGAAAGCGATAAAACATCAAATGTGGTTTAGACACTTTGGTAAAATTATTTGAAAGTAGGAACAACTGACTTTCTTTTCCGCTCATCCCCAGTGTGAAAAGGTAGGAAGGAGGTGCCCTTTTTTTCCTGCTCAAAATCAGTCAAAAGTTAATGGCATGCATTAGGAGTTAAGTGAGATTGTAATAAAGAAAATAACTTTGTGTGATATAATAATATAGAAATGAAATTACTGAATGTAAAAATAATCAGTAATAGACAAAATTTACTATTGATTGCATGTTTTTTTGGGGGGGCGGAAGGTACTCAAGCCAACTTTATCAGAGTGTTGTTGTAATCAATTACATTATTGTTGTTTGTACTGTTGTTGCAAATGTTAACAGTAACAACAAACAGTACTCTGAGGAAGTTGAATAAAAATAAAGTCGGTGATAATTTTTCTATTTCTTTGTGCTAATTTTTGTGTTTTTTTTTTTTTTTACTATTTTGAATGTATTTTAAAAAAATTTTAATTTCTTATACATATTCATTTAACAACCTGCGAATCTACTGTATTATCTACGAATTTTTCAATATAAAATTTAACATACTGAGGCCATGTAAAATAAAAACACACTGGATTCTAAAAATATGTTTTAATAAAACATTTGAAGAAATTCTTGTTTCAAGGCACAACACAACTTTGTAATTACTTATTAATTGTAATTACTAACTGCAGTTCCTTACTACTACACTTGTTTCTTGTTGTAAATTATGTGTATTGAATTACAGTTTTTGTTAATTTTAGTAAGAAAAATATAGGGACTAATCCACAACTTCTGATTTCTATTTTATTTTATTCCAGCTTGAAATGGTAAAGAAGCAGAAGTTAAAAAATGTCAACTTTTTTGTGTCTGATAAGAGACTAATGATTCATAATCTTCCTAAAGATTTTAATGATGCTAAATTACGTAACTTATTCAAAAAAGCATCAAACCCTAGAGCTGTTATTTCAGAGGTACGAATTTTTATAAAATTAATTATTTTATTAATGTATTAGTAGTTAAAATGTAATGTAATATATTTTCCCCCTTTTGATATCATATTTTGTATATACTCAAGAGTTATGTCTCCATTCCTTTTGATATCTAGCGATTCATATGATCTTAAGATTTACAGATTTTTGAAGTGCTTGGAAGCTATGAATAAAACACTATGTATCATTTTCTTTAATTATTTATTTGATGGCATAAAGATATTTCGAATTTTGATAAAAAAATTAATGAATTATTTTTAACAAAATTAAAGCATAATTATTTTATATTAATTATGCTTTATTAGAGAACTGTAAGCAATTTATAATATTGTATGTGCATGCCGCCCAATTAGTATGGTGGTCAGGGAAGCTGACTGCAATGCTGAAGGGCCTGGGTTCGAATCCCGGAGAAGGCGGGGTTGTAACTGTCCGTCCCTTCATAGGAAAGTTGATGGTGGCCCACCTATGAGGTGCCCTCATAATAAAGAGACCACTACATCCGGCCTTGTATAGATTAATGGACTGAGTTACATTTGTAATTGTTCACAATCTGCCGTTGGAAAAAAAAATATTGTACATTCATAGGGGTTGGTAGTGGGTTGAATGGATGCAGAATTGACGATAGCTTGATCAAATTTGTATTTCCAAAAGAAACATTTAACATTTCTGAAATGTTTCGTAAAAGGACTTGTACATTGCGAAAAAAATGGGACAGTTCTATATCTCCTGTTCTACTGTGATTGACGAAATTCAACTTGTGTTTTTTTACATCTCGAAAGCATGAATTAGGATATGTATTAGATTTATACATAGCATTACTCTAACGTAACATAGGTATTCTGACACAAAATCCGACTTTTTCTGAAATAACATACCAATTTTTTACCATATTTCGATTCTACAACTCAAATTATGCCTAGATATTAAATTTTGTAATTTTTGGTGAGGAATTTATGGAGAAATTTAAAAATTTATCTTGGCGTTATTTTTTTTTTCAGTTTGTGCCAAGAATAATTCAGTTGGCAGAATTCTTAATTTATAGTAACCTTTACTTTTCCTTTTTTTTTATTGATGCACTAGAAGAAAAAAGGTCCATCGTTCATTCCTTCAAATAATTTTAACAAAGTGCATAAACCACGTTTTCGTTATTATCACTTTCAACAAATATGGCAAACTTCAAAATTTTTTATGATTTATGTTTAAAATTTGTATTTTTAAATAATTTTTATAAATTTTTCGAAAAAATTTTTAATTATATTCTATAAAATTTTTACCACCATCTTAAAGTATTTCTAAGCATACCTTCAAAAAATTACAGTTTTTTATTCAACATTTGAGAAGATGTACATGAATTTATATATTGGCGCATTTTGAGATTTGACATATTTGTTTAAAGCGATAAAACATCAAATGTGGTTTAGACACTTTGGTAAAATTATTTGAAAGTAAGAACGATGTGACTTTCTTTTCTGCTCATCTCCAACGTAAAAAGGTAAGAATGAGGTGCCCTTTTTTTCCTGCTTCGGGATAATGGAAGGGAAAGGAAAATTGGTTACCGTATATTAAGAAGTTAACCAAGTGAATTATTCTTGTCGCAAACTGAAAAATTGCATCAAGATAAATTTTGGAATTTCTCCGCAAATTTCGCACCAAATTTTATAAAATTTAATTAATTCGATTTGACATTTAAAATATCCTCTTTGTAACACTCTCCATGTTGCCAATCTAAATGTTTTTTTTTTTTTTATCTGGATGTGCATGCAAAATGATGACACATGTCTTTACTTTGAAGTATAGAAAACAATTCTTGTGGAGCAGAACCTTTTATTTGGATAAACAAAAATGAATTAACATTTACTAAAATTGAAACTTCATATGAAACAATTAATGAAACTGTTGAAAATAATACAATAAATATGGATCAACTTTTTGTTTAAAGAGCCATTAGAAAAAAAAAAAAAAAAAAAAAAATTGGGTGGGGGGGGGTCAGCAAATGAAATTTGGAAGCACAAAAGATGTGGAAAATAATAGGCACAACTTTTCAGTCATTTAAGGAAAAAAAAAAAAGACTATTCTTGCTAAAAAAATCGAACACATTTTCAGTTATAATTTCAAATTAAAATAGAATACATATATTACATAAATATCTCATAATCTGAAGAAGCAGTTAGAACAGCTGAATCCAGCTCAAAAGCTTTACGAAGCTGCAAAATTTACATTAAACTAAATTGTGATGAATTTTTCAGTGCCAGCTACAAAAATTTTTAAGGAAAGTTCACTTAGTGATAAATGCTAATAACTTTTTAATATTGAGATATATTTGAGTTTTAAAAATTTCTAGTAACTTGGTTTTTTTTTTTTTTTTTTATTGATTTCTTTAATTAGATTTTTTAGTCATAGGTAATTACCCAATTAGGTTTGTATATTTCCTGAAAATTGTTCCTTTTTGAGGAAAAAATATGGTAAACTTATACAAACATACATAGGTGCGTACATGTAATATACAAGCATATTTCACATTTAGGCATAGACAGAATGAATCATTAATCTCTGATGATTGAATATTAGTGAATCATCATCAAAAGAAATGGTACTGTTCTGTTATCAGAAATATGTGTTTGTATGCATGCATGTATTGATGTATACATGTATAATGTAAATATGAATGTATGTGTGCGTATACATATGTACATATATGCACATACTTGCTATACTCGTGCATACATTCAAACATTTCTTAATCTGGTTCCAATAACAATACTTCTCAAATTTCAAACAAACACTTCCTAAATTTGGTATCATACTTCCTAATTGTTCTCTGCTTAGCTTGATTTTTTCTTTAGCAGTGCTAAGACAGTATTGTAAATGATAATTTACAATACTGTCTTAGCACTGCTGACTTAGTGCTTATGTTGACTTTAGTGTATCTTTTATTACTGACTTCACAACTGTAACAATGCAGTTTTTGAGCTTGTGAGGTGTGGGTGCAGATTTTGCTATGCGTATTGTTTTTCAAAACTTTGGTATGATACACTATATCATCTATGACATTTTCTGTATATTTGAATATCTATTATTTTCAAAAGCATAAATGTTACAAATTCATCAGACTCAAATTTATTATTTGGGTAGGCAAATTTTTGCATCTATAAATTGCTAATGGGATTTGACTGCTTTAATATTTATTTTTTGAATTTCTTTTTAAATTTTTGTATAACTTATAATTTGTATCATGATATATATTGAGTTGTTTTTAACATACAGTCAAAAGTCTTTAATACAGACTCGTCGAGACTTTGGTGATTCCGAATTATCGGTTTTTCCGGATTATAGATCATCAATTTAAATCTGGTAAGATGGCATGCAGAAATTATAAAATTAAAAATATGAAACCGTATTTTATAAAATAAAGAGCAATTATGATCTAAAGGGTTTAAAAATTTACAAAAAAAAGCTTAATATTTATTTGTTTACTTTATTAAACATTTCTTTCAACTCGCGCATGCGTAAAGCATACATTACGCATAGTCGAAATTAGAAAATTGCAATCAGAAAACTATTTGATGTGTATTTGTGATATTTATAATGAAGAGGAATTTGATTTGAATCATATCAAAGACGGAGTACATTGAGATGAAATACTACATTTAGAAAGGAATTATAAGCCAAATAAAATAAAAACATCTGCCCTGAAGATAAGGATAGTGCTGACAGATCAACTTCCAGTTCATTGGTTTTTCCGGTTTATAGATCATCAATTTAAATCTGGTAAGATGGCATGCAGAAATTATAAAATTAAAAATATGAAACCGTATTTTATAAAATAAAGAGCAATTATGATCTAAAGGGTTTAAAAATTTACAAAAAAAAAGCTTAATATTTATTTGTTTACTTTATTAAACATTTCTTTGAACGTGCGCATGCGTAAAGCATACATTACGCATAGTCGAAGTTAGAAAATTGCAACCAGAAAACTATTTGATGTGTATTCGTGATATTTATAATGACGAAGAATTTGATTTAAATCAAATCAAAGATGGAGTACATCGAGATTAAATACTACATTTAGTAAGGAATTATAAGCCAACTAAAATAAAAACATCTGCCCTGAAGATAACGATAGTGCTGACAGATCAACTTCCAGGTCATTGCGCCCCCCCCCCCCCCCGCGCAGAGCAGCGTGAAATTGATAAACAGATTTCGGAACGGTTAGATAAACAAAGGATATACCTTTATCCATTTTTTGTAGCAATTCGTTTTTGTTTGATGGACATCGAAACATACTTTCGTTTTCTAGATCCTTTGGGAGCTCCAGCATCGGAAATTCTATTTTGACATAATCGAAAGTTCAAGCTTACTTTTATAAATTTGCTCTTACAGTCTGCAAAAAATAATAAGTTGGATCCAATTCAAAGATTAAGGAACAACACAATCTGCAACATTAACTGAAATAGATAATTAGATAATTTTAGCTTAGCTTATACCGTCCGTTATACATAAAATGTGCATGCGTAAACATATTATGCGCAAACGTAAAGGTGTTACGCGCATGCGCAAATGCATTATGCATTAACGCATGTGCAGAAAGTTTGTAGCTTTGAGGTCCAGATTATAGATCATTCCGGATTATAGACGTCCAGATTAAAGACTTTTGACTGTATAGACTCTGCTTGAATTTAAATTTATTTTCTCTGTTAAAATCGTGTAACTGTTAAGCAAGATTATTATTTTCACTAAAAATAGTTTTATGTAACAGTTGTTTTTAATTTATCTGAAAATATGATTTCATTTCAATAAATATAAAATTTGTCCTTGTTCTTAAAGACATTAATAAGTATAACCTGTTGAAAAATGCAACAGAAATGCTATGGAAACTACAAAAAATTATCTGTGTTTTTTAGTTATTTTTTCATTATTCTCTTATTTAATCAAATCTGGAATTTCTAATGTGAACTGGCAGTAACGAATGGGTAACTAATGTGAACTGACGGTGAGCCACTGCATAGAAATTCCAATACATGTCAATCAATTAATTTCCTATTTACCTGCCAAAAAGTAATTAATTGATATATTGTAATAATAAACTTTTAAATACCTGCCTTATCATATGTTCAATTAATAAATTTTCACTTTTATTTTAGGCAAGAGTTATGAGAGATTTCAAGAAAATAGGTAGTCAGGGTGCTCCAGTATCTAGAGGATTTGGATTTGTGAGCTTTACACAACATGAAGATGCTCTAAAAGCTCTTTTAGAACTTAATAACAATCCAAACGTATTCACATCTCAAAAGGTATTTGCACATTTTTAGAAAATTGTGTTTTGCCACTATAAGAATCTACTGTCAAATCTCATTAAGAGTAATCTTTGGAACCAAGATACTATGTATTGATCTCTTATTCAGAATGGCTTGCAATGTGATATTGAAACAAATAGCTCTTTTTCTGCAAAAATAGTCAAAATTTTGAAATAAAGTAAAGGAATAATAGTATATGTCGAGAGATCCCTCCAGGATCAGTATTGACCCTCTGCAGGTTAATGAAATTATAAAGAGAGTCAGTGATGATCAAGAGATCAGTTGGGGTCGATAGTTGAACATGCACCAGCAGTTGATATGGCATAATCAAGATCCTATTGATAACAATAAAAAATTTTAAAAAGAAAATCTGAAAGGTTTCAGATTTTAAATTATGTCCAAAGGAACTTTTTTTTTTAAATTCTGTGTGTTACCTTTATTTATTAAATATCAAGTTCTTTGTGCTTGAATCGTAAAATTCAGTTCAACAGCAATATTGCAAAATAATTTTAAATTGAACGTATCTTTAGAATTTCCTATACATAGTCTCGCATGCTGGAGATAATTTTTTTTTTTTTTTTTTTTTCCCTGTACAATGTTGCCATGGCCCGCTTTGAAATCCTTGAGTGTGTTAATCAAAAATTCCTTAAAGTTTTACATCAATAATAAACCAAATTCTAAATTTCAAATTTAGTCTTCCAGATGCCCATATTTGCAGTATCATTACGTCATTCAAAATGGATGGCTCTAGGTACCGTTGTTTTATCACAGTGCAAGAAACATACATATATTTATGTAGATTCTTCATTAATTGATTTCTTCAAATATAAGACAAGGTGATAATATTAGGTGGCAACTATTTGAAAAGTAAAATGGACGTTCAGAGTGATTCGATGCAAAATTGCAAAACGAAAACAATAGTCCCTCACGGGCAGAGCCTCTTTGAATTAAAAAATATTCAAAATATTGATGATTATTTTTTTTATATATATAAAGCGCTATTTTACAGTAAGGGAGAAGTCATGTAAAATAAATATAAAAGAAAAAATATACTGAAATTGTTTAATATATTTTTTAAATTAATAATGTATGTATATTTTTTAAATGCATAAATTTATTATCTGTTTAGTGCAATAAATGTAAAATGCAAAGAATGCAAAACTGGTATGGAAAACAAGAAATATTTTGAGTGTTTTATTTTTTTTAAACAAGGAATAGTTCATTCGAAAATTAAATTAAGCAATTTTATGTCATATATGAATACGTCAAGTATATCCATCACATTCATTAAAATAGAGCTTTTGTGCAGTTAGATTGTGTGTTTTTGTTTCTGAAAAATCTGTGGAAATATGAAAAATTTGAAAGTGCAAATGCCTTTTCAGGTAGGTTGGGAAGGGATAACCCATTTTATCTAACTTATAAAAGGTTTAAGATTAATACTGCTATAAAATATAGTTCTAAACACTTATATAATCTCCTAAAATAATATATACCAATTTTCTCTAAATTTTAAAATAGGTGAATAATGAGGTGATTTCAGAAATGGCCGTGTTTGTGTCTCTGACAAAAAATGTAGTGAACCTTTTAAGAAGAAGCAGAGTTCTGAAACTTTTTTTTTCCCCTTCCCTTCATCTGTTGTCTCTAAGGAACCACTGAGCTTCTTCTTTGGCATAAGACTCATTAGGAAAAGTTTTGTAATATATTTGGCTTTTTGACGAGTGCAGTTTTGGATATTGCATATGTTGTGTATTTTTCACTTAATGTCTATAAAAACCTTTTAAGCACCATTTTCATGATGAAGCAAATTTGTTTGCCATCCCTCTCACTACAGTTAGAATAGCTCTAGATTTGGGGCTGTTCTTTGAGAAATGATTGCACATTTTTGTATTCTTCACTTAATGCGCAAGAAACATTTTTGTTACCATTCTCATAATGAAGCAAATTTGTTTGCCATCTCTTTCTTACAGTGGTTGCTAAGAACAGTTACCTAACAACTTTCCCAAAGAAGAATAGCTGTAGATTTGGGGCTTTTCTTTGAGAAATGATTACACATTTTCTTAATCTTCTCTTCATGTACAAGAAACGTCTTTGTCACCATTTTCATGAAGAAGCAAATTTGTTTGCCATATCTTTCTGACAACAGTTACCAAGAAGAAGTGCTGTTCTTTGAGAAATGAAGTAGGAATGAAATTGCTTGTCTGTAGAAAGTGTCATCATCCATCTTTCTATTTCTGAAACATTAAATAACCACAGTTCAATTGTAGTGAGTGTTTCCTTACATTTTTCTCTATAAACTGAAGCATACAACATAATCATAATAAAAATAATTGCACACAAATAACTTAAGGAAAGCAACACTTAAGAATATGATAAAAAAAAATTTAAATGGTTTGGTTCCAGCAATTTTTTATATATATATTACACTTTTTGCAAAATATATCTCAAAATATTATTGATTTAAAAACATATTTAAGAATTTTCATGTATTTCCCCCCTTATAGTTATTTCTTTTAATTTTTGGGTGGATTTTAGATTCAGACATGTTCTTTGCTTCTGGATATGAAAATAATTATATTAATAAAGAGACTTTTTTAAAATAGAATACATTTAAAAAAAGACTTTAAAAAAAAAGAGAGAATATATTTAAAAAATTTATTAAAAAAATTAAACAATAAAAAAATTTAAAGGTTTCATATTTAAATTATGTCCAAAAAGGGCTTTTTTTAATGTTTTATGTGTTTCCTTTGATTATTAAATATCACGTTCTTCGCCCTTAAACCATAAAATTCAGTTCATCAGCAATATCGCAAAATAATTTTTAAATGAGCATCTTTAGGATTTCCGATACACAGTCTCGTGCACTGGAGATAAAAAAAGAAAAAAAAAAAAAAAAATTCCGGTACAGTGTTGCCATTGCTCACTTTAAAATTGTTGAGTTTTTAAATAAATCCTCCAAAACGGCAAATGAGTTATTATGAGTGCAAGGAATGTAACGTAGGACTGTGTGTAGATCCCTGTTTTCAAATTTTTCATACAAAAAGAGAATTTTAAGTAATATATTTAGTTTTCGGATGTATAATGTTAAAATTCATAAAATGGTGAGTAATTAAAATAAAATGTGTAAAATATGCATTTAAACAAGAAATAAGGTAATTAAAGTATATATATAAAAATATTTATAAAGCATAAGCCGTTTAAATACTCTACAGAGCATTATTAAACAATGCGTTGATACTTTGGAAATTTCATGGATTTAGGCTTAGTAGCAAAAAAGCCCCCGGCCCTGGAGAGACGCTCCCGTAAGACACTGCCTACCTCAGCGATAAGCGCGCGTTTTCGCTACCCAGCTCGAAGGGGTTAAGATAAATTTTTTAAGTATTATTTTTAAAAAATTATACTTCCATGATAACTATAATAACAAATTAATTTTCTCTACATAAAACTATTTATTAGCATATACATATTATATGACTAGTAACGCACAAAAAATATATTTTTAAGGAAAAAAATAGGAACACAGTTTTTTTTTAATTATTTTAAAATAAATACATCATTACAATATAAACACAAAGTAATGATTATTAATATCATACAAATATTTAAATACATAATTAGAAAAACATTTATACTTTATTTAAAAATATTAGAACTACATAATAAAATGTTATGAATGATAGATGATTCCTTCATACTTAAAAATTAATACACTGACAGAAAGAGAAATTGAATATGTATTATGCTAAATTTTAAGCGGGGAAAAACCTACAACAAAGATATCTCTACTATTAAACAAGGAAGCATCTGCATGTTCCTCACACTGGGGTTAAAGGATTATACCCAGAGCCACAAAATTTTGAATACAAGTAATCCTCAATTGGAACATGAGCAACTTGAAACCTGAAATTTGAATTTATTTCTTATTTTGTATGAACTTATTGAATTTTTGATTAAAATCTGACTGGTATGAAAAGAGAGCAGTGGCTGACACAAAACATTTTTATATCTGACCAGCCAGACAGCTGCCATTTGGCAAAATGAAAGCAAAATCTTTCAAGTTTAATCAACAAAATAATTATTTAAAAGGAATGTGTTGCCATTATTCGAAATAAAATAATTATTTAAAAAGAAAGGGTTGCCATTATTCGAAATAAAATACGTTTATTTTCCAAGCATCAGCTTATTACCATTCATTAAAGCATAAGATACTAAACATTCAAATTTAATCTGACAGTTACTGATAAACAAGACAAGCAGTTTAAAAGCAATAAATGCAATTCCTAACAATATATTTTCTACTTTTTAACCTGATCAATTTAAATAAACTTAATTGAACCGATTTTAATATATTTAAATCATGAGGTGTCTAATTAGAAATCTGAAATATTTTTTTAAATAGCACTACCTGGACTCATTAAATGATTTTTTATGACTAATTTTTTAATTTTCATTAAATTACTCCATTTTTTCCATTTTATGATAGCTATTTTAGAAAACTAGCCACAAACGAATAATAATGAATAAAGTAAAAAACTGAGGGAATAAAGAAAGCAAAAGTAATAAATTTTAAATGGTTTTAAAGAGTTTCAAATATGTGTTAACAGAAAGCTCAACAACAAAACAAAAAAGTATATGCCACACTAAAAGCAATTTAGAATAATACAGAATAATTATAGGAGTTTACATTATTAAAGGAAGAAAAATATATGCAGACATGATCAATATAATAAGAGCATATTTCTATTTTCAAGAACATCGAAGATGTTTAAAACTGATACGAACTAACTCTTAAATTTAAACATCAAGGAAAGATTCCACTTGAGTTTGCTCAATTTTCCTTCTAGTAAAACTAATGAAAATTATTGATTGGTAACTGATGAATTCTCAAGATTGTGAAAATATACTTTAACACATTGACTGCCATGGGGATCACTGGTGACCAGCGGCGCGACCAATAATAAAATACGTAATTAGAGTAAATATTGATACTGATATATTTT